ACAGCCCCTAAGCAAACTCAAACAAGAGTGATTAGCCCAAAAAACAAAACATACGAATAAGTTGCAGATTGATAACAGCGACGGAAATTAAATTAAACCAAAACAGAGATAAACGGCAAATAGACCAAGTTTTGACCTGGATTGACAGAGGGGTATCGTTGGCTCGCAGAAGATGGCATGGCACTGAACTAAACCTCGAAAAGAAATAGAGAAGAGAGCAGGGAAATGTCGTCGGCAAGTGGTTGAGATTGACAAAATTGACACGACGATTTCGATTTATGTATCTTCGGTGTTGCAGATCGGAGGAGAGCTAAACACAGAGGGGAAAGAGGGGAAAGAGTGAACAGTACTTCTCTTCAATGAGGAGATGATATTTTCTTCAGAGCTACAGAAACCAGTTGGGTGTGGAAATAGAAACGTCATCAATACAATCGTCTCGAATCGAAGAAAAAAAAATCAATTAATTATCTCCGAAATCGTTCCGTCGAATTGAAGGGCAAAACCGTCAGTCCATGGCAAAATAAATGCCCATTTCTGTGATCACGGACAGAAATGCTTCAAAACGTAAGACTCCTCAGAATAAATGCATTATTCTGTAAATTTCTCATGGACTCATTCATGTTTTGTTTTTTAATTCATTGTTTATTGGTGCTTCAAAATTTTAAGAAAAAGATTTTTTATTAAGACCCCCTCTTACGTCACTCCTGGAATCAGGGCCGGTCCAATATAATTACATGTCCAAAGCAGGAAATTTTTTTTTGCCCCAACTAACACATAAATGTAAAAAAAAATCACAAAAACCACTAATGAAGATTTGAACTCGTGACATGTTGCCTACTAAAACAAGGCTCTGCCGCTACACCACATTAAATGTTTTGGGAAATGATGCCCTAAAATTAATGATATATTTTTGGCGCCTAAAGCACAAGCTTCAATTGCTTTAGCTCAGGGCCGGGCCTGCCTGGAAGCTAATTGGATCCTTTGCCTTATCGAAAACTTGACATGTGATTTACAATATATAATCTATTTTATTTATTTATTTTCATAATCACATTAATTATTACTTCCTCTATTTCAAAATATAAAAGATTTAAAGAAAATACACACATATGACTCTTATTTATAAATGAAGACTATTACTTTGTATAGAACTTTAAAAGTAATAACTAGGATCGGACCCGCGGTCCACCGCGGGAGAATATTGATTTACATACGTTTATTTTAATATTGTGCATGTTTTTAATAGAACGAATCGTGTAGTGTACTTATAAATATTCCTAATAACAAATTGTAAAGAAAATATTAAATTGTTTATAATTAAACCAATCATATTAATTATGATTTATAAAATAGAATTTTGTGTTTTAGAATTCAAAAATTAGACGAATCATGGGAATTAAAGCAGTCAAAATAGGTCCAAAACCGCGGGTCGAGCCCAAATCATCTCACTATTGAGCAGATTTGGGAAATATATTAAACCCGCAAATAAGCGGGCCACATGGATTGATTCGCAGTGGGTCATCGGTTTTCATCCGCGGATTGGCGGATCAACCGGCATGATAGTATTTATTGATAAAAATATAATTTATTCAACATGTGGTAGTTTAAAAAACTTTTAATAAATGAAATTATAATATTTATAAATATAATGACATATAAGATTATAATCTCTAAATTTTTTCTAATTTATTTATTTCTTTAAATTTTGGTTACTCTAAAATTATTTAAACAAAATCCACGGATAACCCCGCAAATCAGCATACATTCGCGCGACGGGTTTGTGTTTCATATATGCTACCCGCGGGTCGTGCGGACAGACTAACTACATGCCAAAATATATTTTGCCTATTGCAAACAGGCTTAACGGGATGAATCAACTCGTTTTGACAGCTCTAATGGAAATATTATTTAGTCATACAACACAATGGAGTTTGGACATAGGAATAATAGAATATGTATCTTATTTGTTAGATGAGAGATTGAAAGGTGAAATATAATTATTAAAAAATAATTAATATTTTTCATGATTCACAAAATTTAATAAATATTTATCATCTTGTTGAATAATTCTAAAAATCATATTCAAGAAATCTTTATAATTTGAAAATTAAACTTCTTTGGTAAGCTATAAGTATGAAAATACCATAATTTCGATTTAATCTAATTAAATTAAAATTAGTTACATATATTTCATATCTATTTAATTTACATGACCAAAATAAATAAATAAATCTATTTAATTTATAAAATAGATGGGTTAGTTGTGATAAATTTTCTAGAAATCTCTATTAGCAAGTAAGATATCTTTTAATTAATGATAACTGGCTAAAATAAGCAAAATTAATGAAAAAAATGTTGATTATTATGGAATTAGTTCCAAAAGTATATAAACAAATATATTATATGTAATTAATGTATAATATTGTTCGGATTATGATTTTATAATTAGTTACCATAAGTACAATTAAATTTTATTTGATTTCCATAAACATTTAATTTTAGTTCGATTTTTCATTATTAATTCGAATTTATATTCCAAAAAATTTTCAAAGATCCGATTTCAGAATTTCTGGTCAATTTTCTGATTTTGATCCGACCCATTTACATTTGTACTTATCTTTTAATAGTATAGAGATGAGTCTTGGAAAGAGAAATACAATATGATTTCATAATATCTTTAAAAATTTATTTTCTACTTTTCTTCACTTTTTCAAATCATAAATAAAAATGAACTATTCAAAAAATTTGAACTTGTTATTAAACACAAAATGGATTAGATTTAATAGACATCATCCCCAATAAATTTCTGACTGTCTTCCTTGTTTAAAATCTCTAAAACGATTTTGTTTAGTGTATTATTAAACTCCTTGGTTTGGTATTTGCAATTCGACAAGTGTTCTGGTTTGATAACAAAAACAAAAAGGGCAGTGTCTCTTTCTAAAAGCCCTATCTGATTTTGAATAACAACAACAACAGGGTTTTGTTACTAATTAAAGTCATTTCTTCAAAAAGCAAACAAAAAAAGTTCACTTCTCTGAGATACTGTTTTTTGTAGCCTGCTTAGGAAAAATTAAGAATTTGCAATTTGTCTCCTTTTTTTCTGGTCTTGTGTTTATTCTCGTATTTGTTTTTAATACAACACCTAAATCGATTCCAAAACTTAACCAATAATAACCAAGTACATATGTAGACCCTAAATAGTCATGTTTTGATTTTAAATTCGTTTGTACTGTTGCTTTAGACCCACTAAAGGAAACAATCACCAATCTAATGAAGTATAAACTGAAATATGTATCACTAAAGTTCCGATGATACTTTTAAGTGGCCAAGGATTACAAAAGTAGATTCTGATTCATCGTAAAACTAATAATGAGATTTGGGAAAAATGTCATTAAAATCCTCAACTTATTCAAAACGTTGATTTAAATCCTCAACTCACGAAGAAACGAAATAAATAGCAAACTTATGTTGACTTTCCAAATAAACACCAAACTTTCATTGACTTGGCCATATTAGGCATGACGTTAAGTGAGTTAACAGACAATGTTAACGGGATTAATTTTCTGTTAACAGATCCGCTAATTAAAATGACAGTATTGTTGAACTATAATCAAATCTCATCTAAGTCGTATTCATATAAGTTAGTTATTTACGTAAGAGTCACGAATGTACGTACGTATAGTTGTGTCTGTTCGTAAAGTTGTGTCATTTCGATTAACACATACGTACACGTTGTTTCGTGTTGTCGTAACTGTTCAATAAAATCCCGAGTTTCAAATCATACTCTATTTAGGGTTAGGGATTTTGCTCGATTTGGGGATCTAAGATTGACTTTAGGGATTTAATTCAATCGTTACGACAAAACGACGTCGTTTTGTTGTTATATGAAACAATGTCGTTATCAATTAACATATATGTTAACAGAAAATTACCTCCGTTAATGAGATCTATTAACCCACTTAACGTCGTACCTAATATGGCCAAGTCAACGGAAGTTTGATATTTATTTGGAAAGTCAACAAAAATTTGATATTTATTTGGAAAGTCAACATAAGTTTGATATTTATTTCGTTTTGTCATGAGTTAAAGATTTATTAACCCACTTAACGTCGTACCTATATGGTCAGGTCAACGGAAGTTTGATATTTATTTGGAAAGTCAATGAAAGTTTGGTGTTTATTTGGAAAGTTAACATAAGTTTAATATTTATTTGGAAAGTCAACATAAGTTTGATATTTATTTCGTTTCGTCATGAGTTGAGGATTTAAATCAACGTTTTGAATAAGTTGGGGATTTTAACGACATTTTTCCCAATGAGATTTACAATATATAATCTCTTTTATTTTTTCTATTCTTTCACCTATCATATTAACTATTTATTTTTATGAGTTATCATTATAGAGAAAACTATGAGTTAAATCACCTTTTCAACATATCATATCGTTATTTTTCATTTCTTTAATACTTTACTGACAAAAAAACTATTTGATTAGAAAGTTATATGATCTTTTCCCATGAATATGTATTTTAAAAACATGATTAGATTTGTATTGAAAACAGAAAGTAATAATGAGTTTTGGAAAGAGAAATAAAATAAAGATAATGCTTAAATCTGATTGGAAGTTGAAAAGGTGATTTAACTCATAGTTTTCTCCATAATGATTACTTTAAAAGATTCTTGATATTCATTTTCGTCACTTTTTTGCCATTAATAAAAAATAATTATTTTGAATAGACAGGACTTTATAGATATCATCCCCAATAGATTTGTAAATATCCTCAGTGTCTAAAATCTCTTTAACTATCTTATTGAGTGTATTATTAAATTATCTTGTTAAGTGCAATTCATTTTATTGATCAATTTTAATGCTTCTATTGTTTTCGTTCCTTTCATTTTGAAATATTTGTTTGATATTTTAGATTTTGTGTTATGAGTTCCCAAATAATGCAAAAGAAGAGACAGATAGAACAATATATTGTGGTCTCTTAAGTTATATATATATATAAAGAGCATTGGCCTAAAACACAGACTAGCAAGTAGTTCTGGTTTGACAAAAGTTGTTGTCACTACAAAAAGGGAGACCGACAACAAAAACATCTAAGGGCAGTGTTTTTTCTAAAGCCCTATCCGATCTTACAACAACAATAACAACAACTTTTAGTTACTAATTAAAGTCACTTCTTCAAGATGGTCTTGGAGAAAATCTTCTTGCAATAAGGACTCGTCTGTAGATTCCCAAACCTATAAACTTTCTCCACCAATCTAGCTCGAACAGCTCCCTGCTCTCGAACAGCTCTCTGTTTTTGGAAGCTTTTGGTTGTAGAAATTATGCATATTTTTGGACTTACCTTGGTTACAGAGAGAGCTGTTTGGATCACATAGTTTCCATAAGGATCCTGCAGAAGCTGTTCAAAGTTTGGAATAGAGAGGAGCTCGCGGACAATCTCAGCTCGACTCTCTGGATACTTTCTTAGACACTTCTCAATTACATGGCTACTGAACTTCTGAGTCGCTAGCTCCGCGTAATGTGTTCTAAACTGAACCAGCAAGTTCACTGCAGAAACTTGTTGCTCTATTAGGCACTGCACCACATAGTTCCTGCCCATTTCAACAAACCATATAAGAGTTTATAAAACTATACCAATTTATCATGATAAGAAACGTTTTTGAGTGTACTGTCTGAGATTTGAATTTACCCGAAAGGATCCTGTGAAAGATGATGTGAGTTTCTTAATATCTCAGCGACGAGTCTATCATTTTGCGGTCCAACAGTGTTTATAAGGCAGCATTGAAGCACACGGCATCCGTGGCGATGAGTTGCAATCTCAGCACAGTACTTTGTAGCTGCTTCCAACACAAACTGACACAAAATAAGGAGATTAATATGTGTGACAGCAATATCAGCATAGTTAGTAGCCGGGGCTAACAAAAAAAACTGACACCAAAAGTTCACAACATTCATCAAAGCTTAAGTAGGAAACAACAGATGGTGATTGAATTGAACCTTGGTGTCATTAGGACCAAGGAACTCCAAGCAACTCTGTAGCACATGGCTCCCATTCAAATCGTTCACAAGAGCAAGAAAACCCGGTTTGAGACCTGACTTCACCAATGCAATCTGTTGCTTTGTTTTCACTGTTTTAATCATCTTCTGCACAACCCTTGTCCTGGTTAAATCCATAAACACATTAGCCACAAATCAGAATTCAAAAAGGCATAAACCAGTAGATTTCTATCCCAAAGGTCTCAGCTTTATTTCTTGTAGCTACCTAAAGTGTGCAGTTTTGGTTTGTCCAAAAAAAAGCAAAGAGTAAATATGTATGTTGCATTCTTTTATTGACATCATTAATATTTCATCCCAATCCACAAAAGTTGATATGTCTTACCCATAAGTGTTGAGACAGATTTTGATAAGCTCCCTTGGTGTCAAGGTTAACACACTCACAATCATTGTTCTCTGTTCCTCATCACTCACATCTAACAGCTTCTGGACGATGTAGTTCCCAAAAGGATCCATGGAGAGTTCAACCACATGGTCAATGATCTCATGAAATATAACCTTAGCTTCAAGAATCGTTCCTTCTTTGACCAGTTTCTGCAAAACTCGACAACCAATCTGATCTTTGGCCATTAAGTTCACAGATCCGTAAATCTCAACCATGGAGACGAGATTCAGAGGCAAACCACCATTGATCTTAGGCTCATCTTCCTTCAAATACCTTCTCATCAGAGTACTCTGTTCTGGATAAGAACCTCTATTTCCTTCAAAAATCAACGCATCGTTGCTAAAAGAGACGCTTCTGTGACAAGGAAGTGAGATACGCTTAATGGGTACATTCATGTGGTCCAAGAGAAAATCTCTGTGATTCTTAATAGCCATCATCTCTTCAAATCCGTTTGGGTTAAAGGAATCTTGATGGCCAAGCAATCTTATCTCTCCCGGAGAAGAAGAAACTCCATGAAAGTTGTTGTTTTGAAGACGAACAGAGGGAGCTTCATTCAGATTCTGGTCGAACCCAGAAGACCCATGAAGAGTTGTTCTAGCTCTAGACCCAAAATCATCCGGGTCGACCCGGAACAGTTCTTCGGGTTTGGTCCAGATACTCATGTCACAAGAGATACCCATTTTACTAAGCTTTCTACACAAATCCAGAGCTTCAACACTCTTGTTGTAATATTGATTCTTCAGAAATGGGTTTGTGTCGAGATTTTGTAAAAACCCACCGGAACCAGAATCAGGAAGAGGACGATGATTTGAAGCTCGTCTGAAGTTAAGATCTCCATGAAAACCTCCAAAATCCATGAATCTCTCTTCAAACATCAGATCAAAAACAGAGTAAAAAGTAGATACCGATTTTCACAAACGAAGAAGAAGAAGAGAGAGAAGAGAGAGCAAAGCCAAGGCCAAGGAAACAATACGGAGAGAGAGCCCAAAAATGGGTTTGAGAGAGAGAATGTTGTTGCGTGAGTGTACGTACGGAGACCTTCACGTCCAAAGTTTGTCTCTTTTGTCGTTTTTTTTTTCAGTCACATTTCGCCATTAATGCGATAACACTGCTTTTCGTTTCATTAATACTAGGTGATTGCCCGCGCACATGCGCGGGAAGAATGCTGTATAAATGGTAAAATCATGTGAAATAAGGGATTGTTTAGGTGTTACTTGGTAGTGTAAGAAAAAAATGGTAAATTGTTTAGGATTTAGTGTGGTAAAATTATGGAAAATGATGAAATTTAAAAAATTCAATAATATTATAAATGCTAAAAAATAATAATAAATCATCTTTTAAAATCATTCACCAACAAAATAAGAAATCAACGAACATCATCACTCCATGGCATTCTCCTTCCGTGTGATGATCGGTACTTGGTCATTTTCAGGATTCCTGACATCCGATTTAGAACACCATAAACAGTGAATGTCCAGTCGCCAACTTTAGAGTTTTGATTGTAAACGGAAAAAAAAAATACTTACCAACAATGCATCTCGTCGGTAATACTGAGATCCGGATTCAACATAATCCTCGTACTTCCGGTAACATTGGTACATCTCCACCTATGTTCCTGTGATAGCTCTAATTTCACAAACTTGATAATACATATCACTGTGTTACGTGAACGATGCTTCCATAAGTCATAGAACTCGACTGCAAGATCACCTGTTAAACGACACTCTAGATGGATACACCTAATTTTAAGATTTGAAGAAGTCATAAGACATTATATTCTGGTTTAAATCTTTAAAAGAATAGTGACTTACTCAGTATCACGTAAACCAAAGTACAGCTCAAAATATCCTCCTTGAGAATGTTCCACGGAAGGAACAAAAACCAACTCTCTCACGTTGACAATTTTGCCAACAACATCTATGAAAGACACACATGAATAATACAGTCAGAACATGAACCGCAAATAAACTCCAAAAGCACAAATAAATTTATAAATTAGGCTTACCAACGCAAATATTCGGATTAACAATACCACTCAATATACTCACAAACTCAGTTAGATTGAAATAGGTTCTACTGGAGCACATATTAATACTTTGCACTAAAGTGTCCGAGCGAAACACAATCTTGAATCTATGCGGTACTGGTCTCAATATGCTGTTAACCCGTGATACATCAAAATTTTTAATGCTCACCCACTCATCGATTATCAATCTTGAAAGATAATTATCAATTAATTCATCACGAACAACGGCTTGGATTTGTGTGAACTGCAAATAAAACGTTAAAGACAAAACCAATTCAATTTAATATCGAAAACATGTATAGCAGGTAAGTTATCAAAAAACTAACATGCTCGTCACCCAAAATCATATTGAGCTCTCTACCCGTGCCACGCGAAACAGACCAACAATTCAAAATCTTCACCGAGACAGACCACTCACCCATGTTAGGGTTAAGAGACGCAATACGAAAATAACCACCATCACATGAATCAGAGGTAAAAGGTATCATTGTAGAACCCATAACAAAAGATTACGCGGCTAAATAATCCAATGAGGTATAAATGCGCGATACATATATGTAGACCTAACGATTATTTGGAAAGAACATAAGATTATTATGGAAAATATATATTAAAAACTAAATCAGAAAATTAACAAAAACGAATATTGATTAAACGATATAGAATTTATCCATAAGATTAATAAATTAAGTTTTAAAAAAAGAAACTAAATCTCAACAGTTAAACTGATATATATACTAACGAAACTTAAGGGTAAAAAATATCACTCTATTATCAATACCATAATAATAATATATACAAATGGTGTAAGTTATTAGGGACGCAAATAAAGTTCCATTTTACCTAACGACGGAAACCAAAACCACACGATGCATTTTGAGAAACAACTTTTTTGAATGAGTAATACAAAAAAACTATAACCAATGACAAGCTATGTATCATGTATGTCACCTCAAACAGAGTTTTTAACTAATATCATATAACATCTTTCAGACTAAATTACAAAAACTCACTAAAGCGAAATATATATAGAACCATAACGCATATCCAGAAACTATACTATATAAATAAAATTGTAACTATTAAAAATGTCAATTTAGTATTTAACACAATCGATGCATATCATAACAGTATCCCTAATTGTAGAGATTTTGTTTATTATTAAACGCGATTTTCCATAATCGCGATAAAATAATATTTTCTTTCTTTCTTTTCGGTCGTGTTGATGTAGTAGCAGTTTTTTTTTTTTTTTTTTTGTTCTTTTTGTTTGGTTTGCTTATATATAATAGCTTGAATAATAATAATAGAACAGAGGAGAGAGTATATATTAAAATGAAACGGAATATCTAAAAGCAGGTAGATATATCGAACTATAAAATACGGTACAGACGACGTCAAATCGTAACTGGTTATTTTCTAATTATTACTACAAAACAGTACAGTTAATCCCATTCAATTTTTACCGCATACGAACATAATAAAAAAAAATACATGTAGTTCACATTATAGCAAACACAGACGCATTATTGTTCAACTATCAAAGAAAATTACGCATAAACAGAAATATTCTAGTTCACCTTTTTATGTCATTTTTTTACCCCTGAACAATGTTATAAATAAATATCTTAGAAAAAGTGATACAGCAACAAATACATGTAGTTAAAAATTATGGATTACGCGGTACTTCGTATATAATTCGCATTACGAACATGATATAGTCGATAATCACATTAAATACACAAGAAAGAACAAACTTAATTAAAATAACAAATTCATAAATAATAAATCATAAAGGTTAATAATTCCCTAAACGATAAAATGATAAAATAAATAACACCAAGACACTATTATATTGATAGTATTAGGTCGAATAGTAAACCAATACCGAAACTATAACACCGATAAAAACAAAACCAAGACAACGATAACAAATCTAGGCCAATATCACATTGACATGTCATCACATTTGTAAGTTAAGAGTCGGCGAACTATACCAAGACGCACACCTTCAAAACCGGCATGATGGAATCCAAGATCGTCCATCACCTTACGCATAACACGAAAACCATACCACTCTAATTGCACATCGGATAACTCCAACCCTAATGTAATAAAAAGCACACCTTTTTGAGACACAGCTATCAAGTCAAACAACATCAATAAGAATTTAGTATTGATGATAGATTAATACCAGGATTATTACGCGCGATCTTCTGTTCAGCCAACACATCACCACTCAAAACTCGATACCAAGCGTCCCATACCGTGTGGACATTAATGCTTTTATAGAGTATCAACGATTCAGCAAAACGAAGGCGTAGATACGCCGGACATAAACGCCAACTACTGATGACAATATCATTAATACACTCAAGAGTATCTTCATTGGTATTCATTAAAATCTCATCACACTCAAGACCGTCAGACGGGTATGGCTTCATACCAGCAGCAACAAAACGCTTCAAGATAATAATAGACAACACATTAGTATCTTATTACATGAATACAAACTGACTATATATATAATATATGTACATCAACTATTAGTAAGATAGATATAAATTATCTCACCCCATCACCAAAATACTTCATGCGCAAGCATAATTCTGGAAGATATACAAAATAAAGTATAAGCAATATAATTTATATTACCAACATTTATCAAACACGTAAATCGTAATGAATGTTACCAAACAATAAGTCGAACTGCACATTATATAGAATTACCAATTAACCTTTTTAGTCTGCATCAGAGGGTCCAATGATTTTGCCTCCTATACAAATCAACGAAGATATAAGTTTTTTTTTTTCTTTTTATTTTCCTGTTTAAGCTTCGAAACATACATATCGAATATCAAAATTGGCAACATATACCAACCTGTAGATATCTGGACAAAAGATATCTCAAGTATAGAGACTTCAACTGTGTCCGAGATTCCAATATTATATTTGTCAATATTTATGGATTATAATTTGTCAATATATATAGAGTATAAATAGGAATAAAATGCGTAATATTATAAGTAAGAACCCAATAATAATATACCAGGTAAAGTACGGCCAAAACGTAGTCTTTATCGGCCGATAATGCACCTAGATCCGAAAGCACATCCTTGAACTTATTATTTACAAACAGTATAGCGTTAGATAAAGATAAAGTAGTTGAATCATACATTATATATTAATAATATATAACTACATAGTAACCAAGTAATTCAATAATTACCTCATCTAACGATAGAAATGCAGCACTGGCCTCGACATGCTAGGAAGTCAAATAAATATAAAATTCAACATTGTGTTGTTAACATCAATATATAGAGACGATAAAAATGTTACTAATTAACGATCGTGTCAGATATATACCAGGACAGAAGAAAGATCAACTGCATCAGACACATCATCGAGATACTACATAAGAAAGAAACAATGTATTAAAACTATTTGTATGAGAATACGAATTCGCTATCAACATGGAGGCGAAACAAACATGTTTGTAGCATACCTCTTTGACGCTTTCCTGTGTATAAACGGCAAATATAAAAGTTAGATTTAAAAGATTAAAAGTTAATAAACAAAAAGAAAAAACTAACACACATGATCAAAGGAATATATACCTCGACGTCAGGGAGACACGAAGAATCGGATGTAACATCCTTGTAAATAAGATAATAATATAATTCTCAATTAATGTTAGATAAGAAATATTAATTAGTATATAAACTCATAAGAAACAGTTAGTTTTAAACAATCAATACGTACCAGAAATTGAGAAAGGACCCCATCACCGCATCCGGATCCCTATTCCAGTAATTAAATTAACCATATTAGATACCAATCATACGAACAATAAAAAATAAATCACACAGAAACAATACTACACATTAAACAGAGCATAAATTATAACCGTATATTTCATTGTAGAACTTTTACACCAACGATAAACGAATGTCTACAATTTTCGACCAGGACACAATCAGTATTTATAGAAGAAGAGCATGTTGTACAGTTGGTTATGGTTTAAGAAAAATATAGAGATCTGCCATTATCTAGACAATTACAATTTGTTTGGAATATTTCTGT